TGCATAATATAATGAAAAATGAATACAAATTTTTGGCTGCTACTTAGTATCGGCAATAGGTCGGAAAAAGTATCTAAAATTATAAAATTTAGATATTTGTACCCCGTCGAGGTAAGGAACCATGGTATATATGTTTGGAATAGATTCCATTTTGAGAGAGTTGAAAAAACACTATCTTGTTGAAAGGTTCTATACATCTTACCTTTCTCAAGGCATTTTTGTAGATAAGAACTCTGTTTGAATAGACTGTGAATTCAACCCATGTTTGAATTGAAATTGAGATACTGATGCAAGTTCTTCCTTTCTGAATCAAGTATATTCATATCTGAAAGAGGTTGATAATGATTTTTTTTAAATGGACTATTTGTCCCTGTGTTAGAGGTGTTCCAAAAATGTTAGTGATCGAGTAAATAGCTCCACAAACGAATGGATCGTATCGAATTGGAAAATGGAAAGATTTGTACAAGTTATACCCTTCATCGCCACTTTGCGAAAAATCGTTAGGTATCAATATGTTAGATACCTGTAACTCGACTGGTGAAATAATATCTCTCTTCAAAAAAACATGTTTTTTTACCATCGCAAAAAGAAAATATTTTGTTGGGAATGAACAAGATTTTGAGGAATTGTCCATACGAAAAATCATAATTATTAATATGGGCTTTTTCCACATAAAAAATGAATCTTTTGTTATAATAGAAGCAGAAGTGATATTGATTATTCAAGAATCGAAGTTGATTTACTTTATAAAAATAGTATATCAATGAACTTCTATAAAATGGTTTCATGAGATTCAACCAATTGTCTAGATCATGAGATATCATTGAGAAATAGGAATATGTGTTATAAAAAGATTTCCTACGATTCTTTCTAGTATGGAATGAGTCAATCATCCACTTTGGTATCTTATTGAACAAAAATGGTGATATTGTTCCTCCATTGATCAAGACTTTCGATTTTTGGGAAGTATCTTGGTCATCCAATGATAAGGGTTTCCGTTTTTTCAAAATAAAGATGTGAAAACCTATTGATTCTAATAATTGATTCCAGAGTGGATCATTCGGATCTTTCAATTCATATATGTGGATCTCGGACCTATGAATGGGGATACCCGCAAAACTCACAAAGAAAAAAGAAGGAAGTGAGTTAGACAAAAAGAGAAGAAACTTGGGAAAAAAAAGAAGTAACTTGGACAAAAATAAACAAAGTGACTTAGATAAATCTTTTTTGTCTATAACCTCAGACCAATCAATCGAATATTTATTAATATGTAATCAATCAAACACTACTTGAAAATGGCTATTTTGCTCAGAAATGAAACACTACTAGAAAAATGGTTAATAGTGACCGAAAAATTCAGTCACTGATAGTAACTGAATCAGTGACTAATTTCCTGTTTTATATTTAGTGACTGATTTAGTGACTAAAATTTCAATCACGTAAATCGATCATCGATTCGGTTACCAAATCGATCACCGATTCGATTACTACTAGAAAAATGGTTAATAGTGATTAAAATTAGTGATCGAAAAATTCGAGTTACTAATAGTAATCGAATCGATGACTCGATTTCTCTTTTTATATTTAGTGACTAATTTAGTGACTAAAATTTCAGTCACTAAATAAATAATATATAAATTAGTGACCATTTTTTATTTATATAAATATTTTTTAAAAATATTTTAATAATATATTAAATATAAATCTACTTAATAATTTAAAATAATTGATAAAAATTTTAATAACATTATAAAAATTTTAAAAAATAGTTTATTAACTTATTCAATAATTTAGTAATATAATTATTTGATTTTATTTTTTAATTTGGTATGTGAATAAAAAAATTAAAATTAATTATTAAATTAGTCACCGAATCGGTCATTGATTCGATTACTAAATTGATCATTAAAGTAAGTATTAATTTAGTCTCTTTTATATATATAATCAATGATTAAATTAATTATTAATTTAGTCTCTTTTTGATATATATATATATATATATATATATATATATATATATATATTATCTTGTTATGTTAATAAAAATGTATTTCAATGTATTTATAAAAAATTAAAATTATTTTAATTATTGAATTGATATTTCAAATTTATATTAATATCTTAAATAATTTAATAATTGGATAAATATTTTAAGTTTATATTAGTATTTTTATAAAAGTGTAAAGATTAAGTGAACTTATTTTAAAATTTAATTAAAAATAATAATATAATATACTCGTTAACCATAAATATGTGAAGATTTAGTTATAAATTAATTTTAAGTTTTATCGTTTTTATTTAAAAAAATTGTTAAAAAAATCAAAATAATTAATTAAAATAAAGAATTTTAATTTAATAAATGTGTTAATATTATTAGTTATTGGAGAATTAAATTTATAATAAAAATTGTATAAAATTATAGAATTAATAAAATTTAAATTATTGGTATTTTTTAATCATGAAGCTAAAATTTGATAATATTAATAAATTAAAAAAAAAATATATATATATATATATATATATATCACTTTAATTATTTTAATTAAAAATAATTTCATAAAAAAACTAATATTTGAAAATAAAAATGCAAAAGTATATATTTTTTCTTTTATTTAATTATATTTTTTAATTTTTACTTTTTGGGTTTTAGTCCATAAGAACAACTTAGTTGCCCTAATTTCAGTTTAACCTAAAAATCTCATCGTCTTACCACAAAAATATATAATTTCTCTTATTAACAAAGTTTTTTTATCAGATTAAGAAAATTATTACTAATAAGATTCAAAATCAGTACCTTAGAGTTAGATACTAATACTCCAACCACTAAACGGTTAGAATTTTCTAATAAAAATTTACAAATAAATTATATTTATATATAAATAAATGTATATCCAGTGTAAATATATAAATATAAAATATATAAATACAAATATATTTATATATTTTGATATATTTATATATTTATATGTTCGATGTCAGGGCCACGCTAGAGAGTGAAAGTGTGTGTCGAGTGAGTTTTCAAAATTTGATGTCAAATTTGTGAGCGAGTCTCTTTATATGGATTTGTAATTTAATGATAGAATATAATCTTTATAATTTATTTATATAATTATATAAAATAATTATTTTATTTATTTATTTTTATTTTAATTTAATTTATTCTTTTTATCTTTTTTTCTTCTATTATTTAATTAAAATTCTTATATTAAAATAATTTTTTCATTATTAAAACTAATTAAATATTTATTTTCAAAATTATTTTTTAAAATTATTTAATTTAACAAATTATTATGAATTAATCTATGTCTAGAGAAAATAATTATTAAAAGATGATTTTGATTAATTTATAATAATATATGTTAGGAAAAAATTGTTCTATTAATAATCATAATTAGATTATTTATAATAATTTGTTAAATTAAATAATTTTAAAAATACATATTTAATTATTTTTAATATTGCAAAAATTATTTTAATATAAGAATTTTAATTAAATAATAAAAGAAAAAAAGATAAGAATAAATTAAAATAAAAATAAATAAAGAAAAAAATTATTTTATATCATTATATAAATAAATTATAAAGATTATATTCTGTCATTAAATTATAAACCCATATAAAGAGACTCGCTCACAAATTTGACATCAAATTTTGAAAATCCACTTGACACACACTTTCACCCTCGAACGCACCCTCACATCCAACATATAAATATATAAATATATTTGCATTTGTATTTATATATTTTATATTTATATATTTACACGGATATATATTTTTATTTGTATATAAATATAATTTATTTATAAATTATTATCAAAATATCCTAGTAGTTTAGTGGTTTGAGTATCAATCTCTAACTTTAAGGTATTGAGTTCAAATCTTGTTAGTGACAATTCTTTTAATCTAATATTAATTCAAATTTTTAAAAAATATAATAGATAATAAATATATATTATAAAAGAATATAAAAGGGAGGTTAGAGACTATTATAATTAGATAAAATAGAAAAGGGTTATAAAAAAATATTTTTAATTTTTTAATGTTTTTGTTAGTGACCGATATAGTGACTCGACTTGATCGATCACCGAAATCAGCGACCAAGGAAAGAGTGACCGATTAGGGTTGGTTACTATTTCGGTCACTATTTTAGTTAGTGATCGATTTTGGTCATTTAGTGACCGAAAATTCGGTCACTATTTGATGTTTTTGTTGTAGTGAAATAGTCCATATTTGGATCCCAATTCATAGATCTTTCCGTTCGAGAAATAAAAATAAAAGGATCGAACCATTTCTATTGAATATTTTTTAAATTTGATAAATGTTGGTTGATTGTGTATTTCATTATAGTTCAATGATTCAAAGTATCATTTCCTATTTGATACCTTTGAATTCCATATTCAAAGTTGCAATTGAATTAACTCAATACATTTCTTATGTAACCATGGGTGCTATATTGGATTTGAATCAGATTTCGGATTAATCTATATTGATTGACTATCTCCATTATGTTTTTGCTAGCAAATACAACTATTTTAGGTTTTGGATCTTTCAAATTATTCCTGCAAGAGGTCTGGACCCATTTTTTTTTATGATCCTTCGATAAAAAGATTCATTCTCTTCATAAAAAGAGGAAAGTGCTTTTTCGATTCATCCCTAGAGTTTAATAACAAATGTTTTTGATCCAATCCGGAGGAATCAATAGAAAAATCAAATTTCTTATGATACACCAGATCTGGCTTGGTTATTAATAGAGTGAATAAATCTTCCATTTCTTGAAATATATCTTCTAATTCAAAATCGTGGTGTAATATGTATCTCCCCCTGTTCTGGTCATGGAATAGATGAAATAAACCTCAAAATGAATTTTTGTTCAAGAATGAAATCTTTTTGGAACTGTCCAGTTCACCTTTTGGAAGCATATCACATCCTCGATATGATGAAATAGGATGAATTGAGACGGTATTTTGTAAGTACATAATTATCTTGAATAAATTCACTATTTCTTTCTTTTCTGATCGCTTGGAAAGAGCAAGATGTTTTGTTTGTTGTTTTTTCAACAATTTTTTATCTCTACTAGACATGTTCCTCAAAAAATCTGATTTGTGCAGACTCTTCCCCCAACTAACGAAGAGATCTTGACCAAATTGCCACATATAAAATTGAGCATAATTTTGCAAAGAAACATCCTGCTTGTTTCTCAAGAAGGGATGGGAAACATGCTTAATATCATTTGATTTAATAATTGACCCAGTCCCTTGTTGTTTGAAGAAACCCTCCACTTCCTTTGGTATTTTTTCACGAAAAGCAAACATGAGATAATAAATCTAGTCTTTCACTAAGATTTTGAATAGTTGTTCCAAATTCAAATTTATTATGTCTTGCCTCTTTCTCGGGGAAAGATGATAAAAAAATTCCTAATTATGGTCCTTACGGATCGGATCATCCATATAATATACAAAAAGGAATTCCAAATATTTGATATCTTTCTCTTTGAATGAGATCTCAATTCCAGCGATGGTTTCATTAGATATCTTGCAACTAGAACCACTCTTTTTTCCTATCTAGTTCCTCTATCATCGCAAACCCCAGTTTGTTAGACAAATGATATCTAGAGGCGGGGGGGGTTAATAGATGCACAAATTAAATTGGATGCCAAATTAAAAATTTATTTTAAGATGTCCAATAATTTATTAATTCAATTTTAATTATTAGATAAAACATAGATAAAGAGGAAGCGATATAATCAGGTAGATAAAGGGAAAGATTATAGAGAATAGAAGGACAATATAGGGAAGAGAAGTTCTCACAGAGATTTATATTGGTTCGAGTATAGCCAACCCTACATCCAGTTTCTAGTCAACTCTAACACAAGAGTGACCCTAATTTACTATCTTTAAAATTTAGTTTATCAATTACAATCAACTCAACAGAGGAACCAGTAAAGAGTAAACTAATTAAAAAGACAATCACCTCCTTAGAAATCCATTATGGATGAACACCTCCCTAGAATCCCACTAGGGATGAACACCTCCTCTGAACAAATCAAAGGATGAAAAACACCTCTTTTGCCACCAACACACAAACGATGAACACCTCCCCGAACAAATTGAAAGGATGAAACAAGACCGCACCACCTATGATATGAAACACAAGGGGTAATTTAGGATCGTTAGGGTTAGAACCTTGTAAGAAATTTAGGAATTAGAAAGAAGGTGGAAGGAAATAATCACTCTTCCCAAGGGAGGCAACACACAAAGGATGTGACAGTCCTTTGATACAGCCAAGGGTTCTTGAATCACTCAAGAATTTAGGAGAATCACTCTCACTAAGATAAAAGAGATAAACTCTAATATTTCTGAATAAAATTCCACTTGTTATTTCTTGATAAGAATGGTTCAGCTGATATAGAAGCGTTGCCATCAGAATTACAAAAGACTCAATAAAAGAAAATAAATACTAATAATAACCCATTAATCTAGGAATTGAAAACTATTTAATGGAAATAAATAAAGGCTAATAATGATCCATTAACCTAGGAATTGAAACTACTTAATGACTGATTGTATTTGAAACTGTGGCAACCAAAAGTCAATCAGCTATGCACCCCTTGGTCTCCCAAAGGCTAATGACTAAATTTTCAATTGGGCCCTTATTACAACTTAAAACAAAATCAAACTAAAGCCCATTAATTGATCAAAACACAATTTGGTCAACCAACAATACTTGTTGAAGAGCTTCCTTTGTTTCCCTTGCTCTAGCCCTTATCATAGGTCATGTTCACATCATTCTCTCCCTCTTGAAAAGGATTTGTCCTCAAATCAGATTCGTCATCTACATTAAAAAGAGATAAGTCTGACAAATAAAATGTAGAACAAACATTATACTCACTTTTTATGGCTAAATAGCTCTGTTTTACTTCAAGTGTTTCACTCCTCTTTTGATCACTCTTTTTCCTCTCAAGTATTTCACTAAAGCTTTCTTTCTCTCTCTTTTCTTGAAGAAGTTTTTCTTTCATTTTCTTTTTATCCTCACATACTTCTTGTGGACTCAAAGGTTTGAGCACAATCTTCTTGTCTTGGTGCATAAAAGAAATCTTGTTGGTGAACCCGTTATGATTAACTCTTTTATCAAATTGCCATGGTCTCCCCAAAAGTAAATGACTGAATTCCATAGGAATAATATCACAAAGCACCTTATCATTGTATTTTCCAATGTAAATGTCCACTTCAACTTGTTGTCTCACTTGCACCTCTCCATCCTTACTTAGCCATTGAAGTTTATATGGCCTAGGATGTGGTTTGGTAGCTAAATTTAGCTTTGATACTAATCTAGCACTGGTTACATTGGTGCAACTACCTCCATCTATGATCATCATGCACACCTTGTCATTGATTAAACATCTAGTGTGAAAAATATTTTTTCTTTGGTTTTCTTCCATAGGTTTCAATTGACTATCAAGTAATCGCCTAATCATCAATAAATCTCCCTTTGGAATTTCTTCCTCCTCCTCAGTGTCTTCACACTTTTCTCCCTCTTCAACCTCAGATTCACTTATATATTCTCCCTCTCTAAGAATCATGGTCTTTGTGTTAGGGCACTCATAAACATAGTGTCCTAGGCCTTGACACTTGAAACACTTCACATCTCTACTTTTTTTAGAGGGTTGTTCTTCATATTTTGAATGGGTCTTTGTAGGAATAGGTGTGGAACTACTAGAAGTAACAGTCCCATCTTTTTTGTCTTTGTCCTTCCAACTTGAAAATCCAAAGTCGGTAGAACTCTTCTTAGTCACTTCTTTTATTTTGAGTTGTTGCTCCACTCGAATTGCTTTATGAAGTAAATCCTCCATATCAACAAACTCCTGCAACTCAACAATATCACATATATCAATATTCAAACCACCAATAAATCGGGCCATAGTTACCTCTTCATCTTCTTCAATCTTTGCTTGAATCATGAGCATGTCCATTTCCTTGAAATACTCCTCAACCCCTTTGTTACCTTGAGTAAGTTTTTGGAGTTTAAATTTCAAGTCCCTTGCATAACTAGCCGGCACATACCGCTTCCTCATGATCCTTTTCATCTTAGTCCATGTATTAACCATTGGCTCTTCATTTCTATCTCTCTCCTTTTGTAGCTTGTTCCACCAAACAAGAGCATAGTCAGAAAATTCTGTTGTTGCAAGCCTCACCTTTTGGGTCTCCTCATAATTGTTGCATGAGAAAACATGCTCTATTTTCATCTCCCACTCCAAGTATGCTTCTGGATCACTTTTTCCTTTGAACGGAGGAATGTTAAGCTTGACTCCTTCAAGCCTACTTGGTCTTGTTACTCCATCATTCATTCTCCTATTTCTCCTTTCTTCTTCGTCTTCAGGATTTCTATTCTCCAACCGGTTCAATCTTTCATGGAGCTCATTGTTATGTCATATCATTAATCCTTCCAAATGTTGTACCAATACTCTCATTTGAATTGGACTAATTCCTGCTTCTTGATTGTAATTTTCCTCTTCTGCCATCAATTTGATGTTTAAACCCTTAAACCGGAGCTCTGATACCAAATGATATGAATCACAAGGGGTAATTTAGGATCTTTAGGGTTAGAACCTTGTAAGAAATTTAGGAATTAGAAAGAAGGTGGAAGGAAAGAATCACTCTTCCCAAGGGAGGCAACACACAAAGGATGTGACAGTCCTTTGATACAGCCAAGGGTTCTTGAATCACTCAAGAATTTAGGAGAATCACTCTCACTAAGATAAAAGAGATAAACTCTAATATTTCTGAATAAAATTTCACTTGTTATTTCTTGATAAGAATGGTTCAGCTGATATAGAAGCGTTGCCATCAGAATTACAAAAGACTCAATAAAAGAAAATAAATACTAATAATAATCCATTAATCTAGGAATTGAAAACTATTTAATGGAAACAAATAAAGGCTAATAATGATCCATTAACCTAGGAATTGAAACTACTTAATGACTGATTGTATTTAAAACTGTGGCAACCAAAAATCAATCAGCTATGCACCCCTTGGTCTCCCAAAGGCTAATGACTAAATTTTCAATTGGGCCCTTATTACAACTTAAAACAAAATCAAACTAAAGCCCATTAATTGATCAAAACACAATTTGGTCAACCAACAATACTTGTTGAAGAGCTTCCTTTGTTTCCCTTGCTCTAGCCCTTATCATAGGTCATGTTCACATCAACCTAGGAACACAACAAGGGATTAAACAAGATCACACCTCCTAGGAACAAATTAAGGGATGAAACAAGACCACACCTCCTAAGAACAAATCAAGGGATTGTTGCTGCCGTCAAAAGAGGCGGTTGGAGCGACGTGATGGTTTTTGACTTCGACTCGCATTTTAAAGTGATGTTACAACGCCTTTAGGTTTTCTGATAACCGGACTGGACCTAAAGGCGAGGATTTCGAAAGTGGGTTATGGAGTCGCCACCAATGTTTTATCCGGAAACATTGGAAAAGGAGAAAAAGAAGGCGTTGATTTTGAAAAACCAACTTTGGCCATTATAACCAGAGTTGGGTAAGGGAGTTAGTTACGTGTAGGGAAGGTATTAACTTCCCTACGACGCCCCTTTTGGGTTCCCTATGATGGACCATTTATTTCATAAATGAACTTTCAAAATGATGCTTTTACCCTTTATTTATTTGCGAAAATTAAGGTATCAACTACATGACCCTAACAATTAATGCACGGATAAATATAAATAAAAAGTGGTAAAAGAGAGGGAGAAAGTGTGGAAACCTTCGAAGCATGCTTTTGTAATTAAAATTCTTGAAGTATGACGCTTTTTGGTAATCCCTCACTCTACAATGTTGGTCGCTCTTTCTCGTGACACTACAGAATAACCTCTAAAATGCTAAGAAACTCTGGAAATGCTTTAGAGGGATCCTAGGAGAAGAATTTCAAAGAATTCCAAAAGGGAAAGTTGAAGAATTGTGTTAAAAGGAGGGGAACGCGCCCTCCTTTTATAGGGATTTGCGCTTGTCAGGTCCAGACGGTGGTCTCGCCTGGCAAGGTCGAGACGACCATCTTGCCAAGTGGGACGGTCGTCTCGCCTTTGATAAATGGCGAGATAGCCATCTCGCTAAACAAAACAGCGGTCTCTCCCTTTACCGATGGCGAGACGGAGGTGTCGACCTTCCAGGTGGAATTCCTTATTTTTTTCTGTACAAAAAACCTTCCTACTCTAATATGGGGCCTATTAGTCTTTCTTAGGGAACTTTAAGGCCTTGCCCATCTTCTAATTGGAGGTCTT